AAAATGTTACACCTCACCCAGTCAAAGGCATTGTGAGCTAATTAACATCCTTCTAATTAGTGCAAAACATCACACTTTAGCTAAATGCAAACAACTTGTGAACAAAACACTTAAAAGTACCTTAAACACTTGTATATGTTACTTCTGTGCCATTTGTAATTTTAAAAAAATTGCTCACAAAAAAAGCAAAACTATTGCTGTCACATTATCTGAAAAATACTGTAAGTCTATAAAGTGGTGATATCAAAACATGACCAGTTTTGTTCCAACAGGCACCTTTCTTTGCAGGACAGAAATGATTCCTTGCATAAAAGTAAAACTCAAAAAGGAATATCATTAAAGTTATTGGCTGTCTTGACTTGTTTACTAATGAAACAGTGGCTTTTTGTGGAAACAATCAACGGTATTGTTTTGCCTAGAACAAAATATTTAACAATAATAAACCTACAATAAGATCAGAATAGTTACTCTTATTTTCCTCTTAATACACTGGCTAAACATTAACAAGCTTGTAGGTGTCTTCCAGAGGCCTACTGTAAGACCTAGAAAAGTATCAGGCAACAGAATGGTGACATTTCAAACAGATCAAGCTGGACCATGTCCTTGCACTAAGCCTGGCTCGGTGAGGGCGCATTATTAGGCCTCTGTGGCTGAATAGCCTCTCCACTGCTGCACTGGTGGCAGGAACAGCGAGCGCTCTCTGGCCACAAGACAGAGCCTCGGGAAGACTTTGGCNAGGAATGAACCGGCTTTTATGGCAGAGGTGGATGATCTGGTCCCTTGAACACAGCTGCCCAGAGTTGTTGCTGATGGCTGATTGCAGTGGCTGCAGCTGCGGAAGGGAGCCCAGCTGCCGCTGAACGGAAGGAGGAGGGGGGAATGGGGGAAGTCAGGCAGGAGCTGAGGCAGGTACAGGGGAGGGAGCCCTGACACAATGTGTGCTTTCCTGCAGCATGATGGACCAACAGCTGCCATGAGGAGGAACATCTCCTACACCCATGGTGGATTTTTTTTATAAACTCTTATTTCTTAAAAAAGTACTCTTTTTCAAAATGTGTAATCCACTATATTTTTTTACAGTGTTACCAGCTTCATATCGTAGAAGGATGACAGTAGTGCAGAAGCTTTTGCCGTTTTATACACACTATTTAAAACAAGTATTTCTATTGTGTCAGATACTGTTATATGAAAACAGTGGCCGAAGACATCAAACATGCTACATTTCTCACTTGCGGTACTGTCAACATGTCACTTAACTAAACTCTCTGAACCAACTAAACCATAAGAACCACAAAAGCACATTAAATCAGAAACACTAGTAACAATGTAAACCAACATGAACCACAACAAACACATTTATAACCCCATCACCCCAAACTCCCATGGTGCATTGTAGCACAGCTGTAGCAACTGGCTCTGGGATCGCTACAATATATTTAAAGTTTATTAAAGAGAGAGAGAGAGAGAGTGGCGTTGGAGAAGAGTTTCTATGCTCTTGTATTTGCTCTAAAATTGTTACTACTCCTTTCATTTACCGTTAGCTGTTTATTGGTCAGGGGTTGAAGGTCAAGTTGTTTTTCTGTGTGGGACTTGGTCTGGGATAAGGAAGAGACTGTGAGGGGGTGGAGTTGGGTGGTTGTACGCTGTGGCACTCTTTTCCTCTCAAAAGACATTTTTACAATGTAAAGAACATTTAACATGTAAATTATTTACATATAACTTGAGTTCAAATTGCTTGTCATCAACAGTAACTGTGTGTAAAATGAATATTGACTATTCAGCTCCATATTAATGAAGTCAAGTTTGCAGTTTCTGTTCCTCAGTTTCAGACTGTAACTGATGTATTTCCTCTTTTCAGTTGGGTGTTAATGCTGTTTGCTTTTTTACAAGTTTGGTTACTTGTTTCTCTGAACAAACCTACTTTAGTTTCCTTGTTTGACTTTAGCTTTGACGACTGTTTCAGGTAGAAATGTTTTGAGTCAGAGCAGAAGATAAAACTGAAATGTGACGTAAAATGTTCAGATGTGATGTTGACACTGACCCTGAAGGCTGATTCTAGTTAATTTCAACCTGTTGTAATTCCCAGTAATGTTTCTATTGTGGCTCTATGAGTCGTGCTAACTCTGACAGCTTCCAGTGTGTGTGGAGCTGTACAGGTTGTAAATTCAAACAGATGTGGTACTGAATTTTTAAACTTTTCTTTGGAAAATTACTTTGAAATGACAACTGTGTATTACATTGTCACATTTTCAGCTTTATAAGTCTGGTATTCTAACGTATGTAAACGTTTTTTTGTTTGTTTGTTTGTAATAAAACAAAGGACACTCTTTCATACTGAATTATTGTTCCTGAAAAGTTTGAAATAAAAAAATAGAAGAAAGAAAGAACTATGGACACAGGACTNCCGTGTTGTTGTGCTCCAAAACAAAGAAGATTGAGGACTGACGCATTACGCACACTTTATGCACCACTTGTCATGAGGCACTACGCAGAGCTTCCACAGCCGACACGCACAAAGAATCCTGCCTTCCGATACATCCACTTGTTCGTCTGCTCATTGGCTACAAGTTTACAGCATCAGGTAAATACAAAATATAATATATATAATATTATAATATATATAATATAAAATATAAACATCAAAACCAGGTACCGGCTGGCCAAAAGGGCAGCTGTGGCAGTCGCGGAAGCTAAAACTCGGGTGTGGGAGGAGTTCGGGGAGGCTATGGAGAAGGACTTTCGGTCAGCCTCGAAGAAGTTCTGGCAAACTGTCCAAATTCTCAGAAAGGGGAGGCAGGGATTTGCCCAGGCTTTGTACAGCCGGGCGGAGAACTGCTGACCCAAACTGGGGATCTTGTCGAGTGGTGGAAGGAGCACTTCGAGGAACTCCTGAACCCGGTGAACACGTTCTCTGCTGAGGAGGCAGAGCCTGAAGACTTGAGGGTTTCTGCATCCATATCCGTGGTGGAGGTTGCCGAGGTAGTTAAAAAGCTCCTTGGTGGCAAAGCGCCAGGTGTGGATGAGATTGGCCCTGAGATGCTAAAGGCTCTGGACATTGTTGGACCATCATGGCTGACACGTCTCTTCAATGTCTCTTCATCGGGTACGGTGCCTGTGGAGTGGCAGGCCGGGGATCCCCCAGGAAGAGCTGGAAAGCGTCGCCGGAGGGAGGGAAGTCTGGGACGACCTGCTCCGCTTGCTGCTCCCGTGACCCGACCTCGGATAAGCGGAAGTTAATGGATGGATGGATGGATGGATGGATGGATGAACTCGCTGTGTGCGGTCGGGATTCCATCGTTTTCTGCAACCTGCCTCACAATCTCACGTACGCTCAACGACTCTGATGCACAGCGCTGCCTGATAACTCCTGAGGTACAGAGCAGCAGACCGGTAGTAGCCTCAGTGGACGATCCTGTGAGCCTGAGCTCAGGACACAAAAACCCTGATTTTCAGATACTCTTCAGTTTCAGATTCTCTCATGACAGAAGTGTAGTAAAAGTCATGTAAGAAGACAGCCAATGGTGAAGCCGCTCGACTCGTAACTGGTGATTTGTCTGTATTTTCAGCATTTGTATTCAAATACGTAGATTTTTCAACTTCTCATACCTTTGTACGCATTGACAACTCTTACTACATGTACAAATTTTTAACACAGATGAGCAGATTTTTTACACATTTGAATACCTAATTACAGACAGACAAATTCCGGTTTGCATTGACAACTTCTTTTACACATTGACAAATCTCACTTTGGACGAACGGATTGAGATACAGATAGACAACTCTCCACAGGCATGGACAAAAAGTTGTTATAGTAATGCCCCCATAGCAGCAAAAAAACTCACAGTGGGTGAAAGAGGACAAACACACCTACAATTCATGTATAGATGGTTCATGCAGGAGAAATTATGGGAAGGAAACAAGCTTAACTCCACTTTTTTCACAAAACTTTTCAAGTGACTCTGACTGAAGGAAAAATGTAAAAGATATCAAACATACATCTGAACTAATCACATTCAAAGCCTTGTGACGCGTTTCAACTTTGAATAAAGTTTCTACTCTAAAGTATGCCAGAGCTACAGGGTTTAAAGATGGCTGGTTTAGGCACTTGTCCAGCAGCTGTCTTCCCATTCATTTCAATAAGATAAGATAAGATAAGATAAGATAAGATAAGATAAGATAAGATAGGGATTTTAAATGCTTTTTTTTTATATGAATTTAATAAAAACTGTACGACGAATTACCAAAAAGAAAAGTCATAGCATACCATTTCCAATCGAGCCGCACATTGATATATATTTTATAGTATAAAATATCAATGTGCGGTTTTTGGCACGTAACTGATGCACAGCATATAAAATGTATACGCTGTGCATCAGTTGCGTGCCAAAAACCGTGTTGGAAGAATCTATGATAGGAATAAACCAGAGGAACAGTGATGAGGGTGTTTTGATGCTTATGCATCGGCACACTTAATTAACATCTTTCTAACTGAATAAGTTTCAAACTGATTTCATTTTGGAATCGGTTGTTCTATTGAGCACTGCAGAGCCCAGGCAGCTCTCAGAAATCTAGTTGTGTTTCTCTTATCATTTATTTACAGTAAATTAAATGACATTAAATAAATCAGGTCACTGCTGAAAACCAAAAACAGCCATTCTGGTTTGTTCTGTTTCTATAGATCTTTGTGTCTCCAGATGTTTTCTCCCTGATGGGATCTTTGTTCGTTCTTCTTCACAGATCTCAGTGAGTTGTGTTTCCATCACTAGCTGTAACCTGCGTATAAAATGACTCTGAGAGGAGAACTTTGGATTGCTGCACCGTTGATGGTAACACAATGTTTTATTTGTCAGGCAGAAACCCATACAGTCCTGCTGCTCTGGTTGCTTTAATTGTGCCATTCTCTGGTTGAAGTGTGGAGTCTTCTGACCTGGTTTCAGCAACATAATGATTATAACTGAGGCTTCACTCAGACAGAGAACCTTTTCTTGTCTCCACAGATCATCCTGGTGAAAGTCTTCGGTGGTCAAACCCTCCCATGTTCTCCAGACGAGTATCAGATAGTATACACATGCTGTCCTGCGTGTCCTCCTGGTAAGATCCAACTGAATTTTAATGGGTCATTTCTCTTTAGTAAATGGTAAACGGTCTTATATAGCACTTTTCTACCTTAGAGGCACTCAAAGTGCTTTAAAATGTTGTCTCATTCACCCATTCATACACCAGTGGCAACTTTGGGTTCAGTTTCTTGCTCAAGGACACTTCGACTGTGGAGGGGCAGGGGATTGAACCTTTGCGATTAGAGGACAACCCGCTCTACCACCTGAGCCACAGCCGCTCATTTGTGACACTGAAAACATAATAATTACTGTACAACTTCACTTCTCTCTCCTATGGCTGCTGCTGTTTATGTTCACAAATATAAACTGGTCAAGGACCTGCATCGAACTGGAGTTTTATTCCATAAAAATAAAAATAATGTAGATTTTTATTTTTTTTTAACTTTGGGTTTAGTTGGTGGTAGTAAAAGGAATGACAGTGTTGTAGACAACAAGCAGTACATGTCACTTTGACGAAATCACATCATGTACTTTACTCTCAAGATTATACATACATTTTATTTTAATAAAAGCATGATTACATGAAAGGATTGTTTTCTTTCCAACAGGAAATCTGGTTAGAACACATTGCTTAAAGGACAGAGCTACTTCCTGTCTGCCCTGCACTGATGGAACATTTATGGCTAAAGCCACTGGACGTAGGCAGTGCTACCCTTGTACACCTTTAAACTGTGATGCAGGTAGATTTCTGTTATTATTTCTAAAGCATTAATACAAACATCTTTCTGTGTGCAGATTTAATGTTGATTATGAGACCTGCTACTGCATGCAACAGGTGCCCATTTTCCCACATTCTGATTTTTGAGGTTTCTCCTGTCTTTCGTGCTTGACGTTGCTTTGCTGGTCTGAAAATTGCAAAGACTGTAGTCCACAAAGAGAGTTGTTCTGTCCCAAAGAAAACACTGATCCTCACCCGCCTGAAGTGTTTGACCTTCCCTGTGCCAAAGTGTAACAAGATCCTCTCTTTAATGCTGTATAACAACTGAGACAGCTGCTCTGACGGAGTCCCTGCAAAGGTGCAGAGGCTCACTTTGATGGACTTACTGCATATTAGAGATCGATGAAAAACAATGCAGAGAAGACGTGTTTGGTGTAAAAGCACTCTTGTCACACAATTAGGCCACAAGATATTCCACATAATGACAAGTTCAGTTTTTTGTAATCATGGTATTAGCTGTTAATATCAGCTCAGACCTTTTCTCTCTAAAGCCACTAATACCCGTTGTCTGTCCTTTTTCATGCCATCATGAAATCAGATGTCCACAGAGTGGTATGTACATGAGATCTTAAATAGAATCCATTCTAGACAAGGTCTTTATACAGATGTTTCCCAAAAGTTAATATTTGGACAGTTTATTGTATCACAGTTCCTACAGATGATTAATAACACTGAAGATACATTTTTTAAAAAGTACATGTAAAGTAGTACATTAAACAGAAGAGAGATTTTTGTAACATCTTATGTATCCTGTACATGTGTTCACAGGTTTGGGTCTGAAGACTTTATGTACAACAACATCAGACACAGTTTGTGAACCACTGGAGGGATTCTTCTGTATCGACTCTACAGAGAACAACTGTGCAGCAGCACAGAAACACAGCAGCTGTCAGCCAGGACAATACATCAACAAAACAGGTTGGTATGTTTGTGGTAAGACTTTTGGTAAAGCTTTAAATGAGAAGAACAAAAGTTCAGGGAGTCTGACCTCATTATAGTTTCATGAAGTTGTGATTTGTGGCCAGTTGATTTGAGTAAAGAAGCACCAGAATAAGATAAAAGGAAGATAAAATAAGAATCTGTTGTGACCAACAGCTGTGTAAAACTACACC